GATTTAGTTCAGAGCTAAACACACTCCCAGAGATAGAACTCTGGTGACAGCTTCCAGATAAACATATAGATGGATGGATTTGAGCCTTGTTGGGGAGCAGAGAAGATAGGATGTAATTTCTACAAACCTAACTGTTCAAGGAAAGGAAGGTTCTGGTTAGTTAAATTTTCTGGATAAGTGAGGGGTAACCAAAAGGCTTTTTTTTTTTTTCTATTTCATCTGCAGTAGAATGCTTTTGAAATGCCTTTGTCCATTTTCCAGCCTTAGCAGATGGGGTGACATTATATCTTTTTGCTGATCAACGGATACACAGAACCTTGGAGGCATCAAGTTGTACGTTTTCCCTTTCAATTACTGAGATTAAGGAGGTGGTGAAAGAGTAGAAAATTGGGTAGAGTATGTATAGAGTTGAGAACATCCCTCTGGAAATCATCCAATTTAGTTTAAAGCCCTGAGCGCAACATGCTTAATATCATTCACCTCTTTTTAAAAAAAGTGACAACTTGTTTCAGTTAGGTTGCAGTTCATGGAGATAATAGATAAATATTGCCAAGAGGCCAAATATGTCTGAATTAGCAGACTGCAAATTGAAATAATTTAAGAGTCTTTGTGCACATCATTAAAATGACCTCAATTCTCCATATGTTGTGATGTTTTTTTAAAGGGAGACTGAATAAGGATTATGTGGGTCAAATGTCAGTGAAGGAAATGTATGCCTAAGAAATTGGCTAATTTAATTAGATATCCTCACCAAGAGCTACAGATTAAAGGGTTTGGAAATTGAGATTTGACCTAACCTAGAAGAATCTTATTTCATCATAGATTTCCAGGCATTTGGGAGTTTGAGCAAAGCTGAGAAGGCTTTTATAATTTTGCCAAGAGTCTGCAGTGAGATTGTCATAGTTCCAAATGTGACATTTGGAGAAATATTCTTTTGGGTCATCCCATTCTGCTAGTATTTGAGAGAGACCTCCAATGGTGAGTAGGTAACAGGACTGTGTTCTAATTTCTTTTCTTTTCTCCCTTTCTTAGGTCTTTAACAATCTCTTTGTAGTTGAGAGGAAACTTAGGCTGTATAAATAATAGCAGATGACAAGACTTAGATGGGAAACAAGCTGACCCAGTTTACCAGGAATCATATAGTGATAATTCTAGGATGGGTCAATCAGCAATCTTCAGAGGGCAGGGCACAGAGTAAATGAAAAATAGATTCTTTGATTTAGATTCTGAGTAGCCTTTAAGTGTGAGAGGGAAATGATCATCAATTTTAGTTCCACAGGTCCAAATATAATACTAATGGAGTCAAGGTCATGGGTTCAAACCCTATCTCTATCAGTAAGTTTAATATCATTTTTAAAAAGTTTGTCCCACAGCCACAGATTTATCATCAAATTTTAGTCAAACGGCTCATCAATTTATTCTACTGAACTTATGAGGGACTGAGAGAGAGTCTTTTTAACTCCCCTTCAATATTGGAGAAACAGAATACATCCTGCAGCTTGTTAAGAATGATAGTTTCACATGAGGAGAAAAAAAAAATATCTATTAATCAATATTTAATGCTTAACAGAAAAATAAGTATGTTTTATAAAGTTCTAGGAGCAACAGACTCAATTTGACACCTAAGAACAACAGCAGGAATAGTAGAGATCTTTAAATGGCGCAATAATCAGTTGTCCATCTCTACGCTGAACCAGTTCATACTCCCAACTGCAGTCTGACCATTGTCTTTCCAGACCTTCAATGGCCCATGTGTAGAAAACTGGGAGTTAACTATACACCATTCAGAAAATTGTAAGCTATGACTATACTAACTGAAAATTTAAGAGACTTCAGGGCATTTTTTTTTTTTTCATGTAGTCATCTGACTCTCATCTGTACATCTTCCTTCTCTAGAGATGACTATCTCAATTATCACTTGGAAAATTGAAGGTATTCCAAGGCAAAATCTCTTTTTCAGGATCCCATTATAAGTCAAGGCAAAACCACCATTAGGTATCTCAAACTCTGAGGTATCTCACAACTTCTGAAGTATCTCAAACTTCACTCCTGTGAAGGCAAATCACTAAGACATTTGACTGCTAACAAGAAGGCTGGCGGTTCAAACCCACCAGCCACTCCTCAGAAGGAAGATTGGATGATCTACTTCCATAGTGATACCACCTCAGAAACTCAAGGAGGTGTCACTATGAGTCAGATCCGACTTGATGGCAGTGAGGTTGGCTTTTATTAGTTTCCATTCCTTACGTTTGTTTGCCACTCCACAATGGCATACACTCCCATATTCATTGATTTACCATCCTTGTGTAGCTAACCTGTCTGAGAGGTTGAGCAGGTTAAAGAATGAGACCCATGGATAAGTTATTTGGTGACCAAACCAGCGAAGGGGGTAGTTATGGAATCTTCTTTGCTAAAGACTCTTAAAGACCAGGTGAATCTCCCATCTCAGAGATGGTTAGAGAAACTCTATCCCTTGTTAAAATCTCATCTCTAATCCACATGACTCTCTAATAAAGGAGGAAAATGTAGTAGATTCTCTGTGATGTAAGGAGAGTTAAGATTTGGGTTTTTTGTTTGTTTGTTATCATTTTAGCTGAGACAAATCAAAGAATTCTGGGATGTTAGAACTAGAAGTTCTCTTAGAGATTACTTACTTTAACTAATTTGAAAATGAAATTTAGGCCATATGATGGGGAAAAACTTGTTCAGAGACTGAAAGTAGCAGAAGTTTCAGGGGGAGCTTTAGAAAAAGGGGGAGAGTGAGTCTCATAAAAGAGCACATAGACATTAAGGGATGCTTAGCATACAAACAGAAGTTTCCAGAGAAGAGACAGATGGAAAGAGAGAGGCTGTCTTTCAATAAAGAATACGTAAAGAACTTTATTCACCCATTCATTCAGGAAATATGGACTGAGCACCTCCCATGTCCCAGGCACTACTCTGGGTTTTGAGTATACAGTAATGAGCAAAACAGACAAAATTCCTACCCTCTGAGCTTACATTGTAACTGGGGGAGATAATCGATAAACATAGTTATTGAAGAGCTGTGAAGCTCTTTACATACAACTCATATAGTGTGCTAGACTGTAACAATTCTAAGAAGAAAATAAAGCAGAAAAGGGGGCTATTATATGCCAGGGAATTGAGATAAAGTTTTAGACAGGGTGACCCAGACTAGACTCACTGAGAAGGTGCTTTGTGAATAAAGACACAAGAGAGATGAGAGGATGAGTCATGCAAGGATCTGGGCAGGGGAGGAAGGCTTTCAAGAATATGAAGCAACAAGATAAAAGTCTCTGAGGAAGAGGTATGCTTTTAGTGTTTCAGAACAGTGAAGAGGCCAGTGTGACTGAAGCAGCGTGAGTCAGGGAGCGGGTAGTAGGAACTGGGGTCAGAGAGGTAACAGAGAGGCAAACCAAGTAGGGCCTTGTAACTTATAATAAGGACACTAGTGCTTAATAAGGTTGAAATAGGAAGCAATTGAAGTTTTTTAAATGGAAAAGTGACCTTATGTAACTTATAATTTAACTTAATCACTTGAACTGAATGGTGGCAGGGCCAGAAATGAGGAAACCAATAAAGAAGTTACTGAAAAAATTCAGGTGAGTAATGACGATGACTTGGAATAAGGGATAGCAGTGCAGGTGGCAAGAGATGTAGTTAGATTCTGCATAATAATCCATGACTGCCTGAGACTTTCTGTATGCGTTTGTTTCTTCTATATGTATTGAATTCTTGTGATGTGCTAGGCAGTGTTCTAGACGGTAGGTATATACCAGGTCTCCTTCCTCGAGAAATTTACATTTGAGTGAAAGACAAATCGTAAAACAAGCAATCAAATAAGTAGTTAATGAATGTTATAGACTGGAATATTCTATAAGGAAAAATAAGGCAGGGTGAGCAGCTAGAGAGTGGTGAGGATGGGAAAAAAGAGCTCCATCAGACAGACTTACCACTGAAGTCCCTCTCCATACCACCCACATTTTTAGAAACATCACATTAGATTTTCCCACTCCTAACTGGGGCTTAGCAACCACAGCATGGAAACTACAGGTGAAGCTGGAAATGATATTTCAACAGTGAATATTAGCAGAAGTTTCCACTGATCACAAGGACTCTGTGAGTTACTCCATTTGTATACTATTAATTGAGATCAGAGGTACATTTGTACCTACTGTGGTAGGTACTGGCACTATGGGAAAACGGAGGCAAGTACAAAAAAAGACACAAAAAAGGGAATATTTTAACTACATCATTTTCTCTGCCAGAAAGTATCCTCTTGATGGAGATCAGTAATTCAAGCTGAGTGAGGCACAACAGGATCTAGGCATCAGATTTGCCTTGGAAAATAGAGAACAAGCGAAAGAGCCCAGAAGATGGCCCACCTTTCCTCTCTTTACAATTGGGAAAGGTTATCCAAGAAGGTATCTGGTGAAGGAGAACTGGAGAACTTTTTTACAATAGGCCCTCCCTATCAGCTGGCTCAGAACCTGTGGATTCAAACAACCACAGATCCACAATATTCGGGAGTGGGGGTGGGAGTGAGAGTGGGGGTAGGGATGGCAGTGGGGTTGGGGGTGGGAGAGGAAGCAATTAGGTGACCAGAGCAATCCCTCAAAGGCTAAGAGCGTGTGTAGAAGTGATCTTTACATAGTATTTACATTGTATTTGGTATTATAAGTAATGTAAAGATGATTTAAAGTATACTTGAGGATGTTCACAGGTTATGTGCAAATAGTATGCTATTTTATATAAGGGTCTTGAGCATCCAAGGATTTTGGTACCCACAGGGGTCCTGGGACCAGTCCCCTGTGAATACCAAGGGATAACTGTAACTATTTTCAAAAGAATGAGGAACTATTTTTCCAAGGTGGCCTCAGATTTCTAGCTTTGCCTCTGTTCCCATTATTGATACTCCATTGACCTTCTGTGTCTTTTGAAAAGGACAAAGATAATGATCCTCAACACCCTAACTCTTGTCACCTGTGTTATGTCCTCCATCTTTATTCTCATTCTTACAGGTAAAATCAGGCAGCTGCATTGGTGCCCACCCAACAAACAGTGACAAGTGGGAAGGATGGCGATGGACAATGCCACAGGAGTGATTGAGTTTCTCCTTATTGGCATCTCCAACTATCCTGAATGGAGAGTCACGTTTTTTATATTGATGCTGATAACTTACCTCAGCACCTTGGTTGGGAATGGACTTATCATCTTTCTTATCCACTTTGACCCCCACCTCCACACTCCAATGTATTTCTTCCTTAGTAATTTGTCTTTCTTAGACCTTTGCTATGGAACAGTTTCCATGCCCCAGGCTTTGGTGCATTGCTTTTCTACCCATCCCTACCTCTCTTACCCAAGATGTTTGACCCAAATAAGTGTCTCTTTGGTCTTGGCCACAGAAGAGTGTCTCCTACTGGCTGTCATGGCCTACGACCGTGTGGTTGCTATCAGTAATCCCCTGCGCTATTCTGTGGTCATGAATGGTCCTGTGTGTGCCTGGCTGGCTGCTGCCTCATGGGGGGCATCACTAACGCTCACTGCCATGCTCATCTTATTCTTACAGCTTCACTTCTGTGGGGCTAATGTCCTCAACCATTTTGTCTGTGAGATTCTCTCCCTCCTGAAGCTGGCCTGTTCTGATACCAGCCTCAATGAGCTCATGGTCCTCACCACTGGTATCTTCACCCTGGTTTTACCCTTTGCATTTGTTCTTCTCTCCTATGTACAAATTGCTGCAGCTGTCCTGAGGATTCGCTCAGCCCAAGGCAGGTTCAAGGCCTTTTCCACCTGTGGGTCTCACTTGACTGTGGTGACAATCTTCTATGGGGCAGCCATCTCCATGTATATGAAACCTCAGTCCAAGTCCTCCCCAGACCAGGACAAGTTTATCTCGGTGTTTTATGGGGCTTTGACACCCATGTTGAACCCCTTGATATACAGCCTAAGAAACAAGGATGTTAAAGGGGCAATGAAGAAAGTGATGGCAAAAAGGGCATAGGTCTCCTTTGCATCTAAAATTCTGAAATATCACTCAGCCACATCTTCATCTGTGGTGCAAATTGTTTACCCTTGGAATGGTAGGTGATTGTCGTATGAAAAGCTTTAGGATGGAATAGCCCCACCCCAAAATATTATCCCTACTGAGACCTGAATTTCCATTACAGGTATTATTTTTGCTCTTTCTTTACATGTAACTATCTTAATGGTTACCCATCAGGTTAATCAGGTTGATCATCTTCAGGTAAATGAGTTTAACAGAATCATTTCCTCTGACAGAAAGGACCTGAGCACCAAGAGAACCTCCTATGAATGTTGGCAGGAGGCAAGACATAACTGAAATTGGAAAATAGGACAAAGAATGGTGTAATAAAAAACCAGGAGACAAATGTCAGAAACTTAACAACTTTGCTGAGAGCAAGCCCTATTGTACAAGTGCAATCTCCTTGCTTCACTTGAGCTTGGAATCATGAGAAAATTGTATCAGAGCCATTTCCTACATTTGTGTGGAGTATTTTCTTTTTGGTTTTCCAAACTTCTTTCTAATCAATTAGTTTGTATGATATTCCTAATATTTCTATGAAAATGGTAAGGAAGACATCATTATTCCCTCTGTAATTAACAATGAGGAAATTGAGGCCAGACAAGGTGTTGAGACTTAACCCTCACTGCCGTCGAGTCATCCGGACTCATAGAGACCCCTCCTTGGGTTTCCTAGGTGATATCTCTATGGAAGTAGATTGTCCAATCTTCCTTCTGAGGAGTGGATGGTGGGTTTGAACAACTAGCCTTCTGGTTAGCTCATAGTGACCCTATATACAACAGAATGAAACATTGCCTGGTCCTGCACCATCCTCACATTCTTGGCTATGTTTGAGCGCATCATTGCAGCCACTGTGTCAATCCATCTCATTGAGGACCTTAGCCTTTTTCGCTGACCCTCCACTTTACCAAGTATGGTGGTTAAGTTTGTGTGTCGACTTGGCTGGGCCTGGTTGAGTGCTGGGCAGCTGGATGTAGTTATACCCCATGGTAATATTGGTAATTAACTCCATGGTGGAATCTACTGGAGCAGCTGAATAGCTGCTTTAGGGATGTGGGATGCTTCTAGTATACAAGAAGCAACTTTGAGGAAGGTCTCCAGCTTTTTGGCATGCTTGAACCCTGCATTCAGCCAAGTCGTTGTTCGGCAGCCTGCCATGCCCCGCCAATCTTGGGACTTTCAATGGACTTGAATCAATGGCCTGCCATGTTGTTTGGTAACATTGGGACTGTGCCTTTTTACTTGTCAACCTTGGGTTTGTCAGCCTCAGCAGCCAGCAGCTGTCTGAGTGAAGAAAACCTCCACCTTTAGTGGGCCGAGAGCAGGAGGCAGAGTTGAAGCCCAAGGTTGAGGGGTTTTCACCCAGCCCCTAGAGCCTGGCACTTTGAACTCATACTTAAAGCCTCCAAACTGTCAGAGAATAAACTCCTATTTGTTAAAGCCATTCCATTTGTGGCATATCTTCTGTTAGAGTGGCACTAGGTAACCAAAACACCTAGTATGATATCCTTCTTCAGGGAATGGTCCCTTCTGACAACACGACCAAAGTAGGTGAGACCAAGTCTGGCCATTCTCAATTCCAAGGAACATTCTGGCTACACTTCCTCCAGGACAGATTTGTTAGTTCTTCAGGCTGTCCATGGTACTTACAGTATTTTTCACCAACACCACAAAAGCATCAACTCTTCTTTGGTCTTCCATAATCATTGCCTAGCTTTCACATGCATATGAGGTGATTGAAAATACCATGGCTTGAGTTAGGCGCACCTTAGTCTTCATAGAGACATCTTTGCTCTTCAGCACATTAAAGAGGTCTTTTGCACCAGATTTGCCCGGTGCAATATGACATCTGATTCCTTGATTGCTGCTTCCTTGGGCGTTGGTTATGGATCTAAGTAATATGAAATCTTTGACAACTTCAATCTTTTCTCCATTTATCTTGATGCTGCTTATTGGTCCAGTTGTGAGGATTCTATTATTTTATCAACTTTATTGTGGTATAATTTTTGTACAATAAACTACATCCAATTATAGCACAAAATGGGATGAGTTTTAACAGATGTATATGCTCATAGATTGAGCACCACAATCTAGATACATAATAATTCCATCACCTCCAAAAGTTTCCTTGTGCCTTTTTGTAGTCCACTCCTCACTTCATTACCACCCCCACCCCAGACAACAACTGATTTGATTTCTGTCACCATATATCAATTTTCATTTTCTGGAATCAACTATAAATGGAATTATAGAGTATACGTTCTCTTACGTCTGGCTTCTCTCACTCACTGTGTGTGTTGGTTCTCTAGTGGCACTCTAACAGACAGACACATGACAGGTGAATGGCTTGAACAAACAAGAGTTTATTCTCTTATAGTTTAGGGGGCTAGAAGTCCGAGTTCAAAGTGCCAGCCCTAGCGGCTGGTTGAAGGCCCCTCAACCATAAGCTTCAGCTCTGCCTCTTGCTCCCAGCTCCCTAGAGCTGGAGACATCTCTTAACTCATGCAGCTGCTGGATGCTGAGGCTGACAAACCCAAGGTCAACAACTAAAATGACATAGTCTCAAGATTATCAAGCAACGTAGTAGGCTACTAGTTCAAGTTCAAAGACAGTCCTAAGGTCAGCAGGAAACATGGCAGGCTGCTGAATGAAGTCTTAGTTACATGCAGGGTCCAAGCCAAAAGGCTGCAGAGAACTTTCCCAACCCTTCTGCTTATGTACTGGAAGCAGACCACATCCCTAAGGCAGCTACTTAACTGCTCACTGCAGATTCCACCATGAAGCTGATTACCAGTCTCATCATAGGGAATAACTACATCCAGCTGCCCAGCCACTCAAAACCAGGCCCAGCCAATTGACACATAACCTTAACTACCACACTGTTTTTGAGATTCATCCATGTATCAGTAGTTTGCTCCTTTTTATTGTTGAAAATGTATTTCACTATTTAAATTTGCCACATCTTTTTATCCACCCCCTGCATCATTCAGTTGTTTTTAAACTTTATTCACTTAGCCCTGTGAGTTTTTTCATGCTGCTAGGAGCTCTGGTGGTATAGTGCCTAAAGCATTTGTCTGCTAACCAGAAAGCTGGCAGTAAAAACCCACTGGCCAATCCTCGGAAGGAAGGTTGGGCAACATACTTCTGTAGTGATATCGCCTCGGAAACCCAAAGAGGGGTCTCTATAAGTCAGATCCAACTCGATGGCAGTGAGTTTTTGAGTTTTAGAGCTTGCTAATGGGGGTAAAGTTTTCTGTATACAAGTTCATTTGAAAATAGAGCTCTAAAAAGATAAGGTTTGGGCAAACAATGATCTACTCTAGATCTCTCATTTTAGATGAGGCATCTGATGCTCTGTGAACTGGTAGTAAATTTCCCAAGGTCCTGAAATTACTTTGAGGCAGATCTAGGACTAAGGCTCAGATAGCCTGTCTCCCAGTCCTGCTTTATTTTGAGCAATCCCACTAAGGAAAGAAAGAAAATTCCACTGCCCCTGAGTCAATTCTGACTCATGGCAAACCCACATGTGTCAGAGTAGAACTGCACTCCATAGAATTTTCAATAATTGCACTGGTGGTGTAGTGGCTAAGGCATTTGGCTACTAACCAGAAGGTCAGTGCTTCAAACCCACCAGCTGCTCCATGGTAGGAGGATGAGGCAATGTATTTCCATAAAGATTTACAGCCTTGGAAACCCAATGCAGGTCACTATGAATCAAAATCGATTCGATGGCAGTGAGTTTTTTGTTTTGTTTTTTTGTAATCTTCTGGAAGTGGATCACTAGGCCTTTCTTCTGTGACACCCTCAGGTGAATTGGAACTGACGACCTTTCAGTTAGCACTCAAGTACAAACCATTTGCATCATCCAGGGACCTGCAATCCTACCAAACATGATGAAATCATCTCCAAAGCAGCCTGATGAGGAACCAGAGATGAACGAATGGCGAAAATATGCACAGCACCTACCTGTGAGGTAGGCATCACTGAGCAAGTGAATCTGAGCCTGTGAATCTGATGGCTGTGGTTCAGTGTAATGCTGGGCGATGCTGCAAAGGGAGGACCAGGCATATGAGTGATGTGTCGCACATGTTTACTCACTAAATGAAAAAAATGAATTGAGCATGAATAAACCACTTATCAAGATAGCTTAATTTCAAAATATAGCACTTATTCAAACTTCCTCTATTTTACAATTTCAAAGGTATATGGCATTCTTACCCACTGAACTCGTGTTGAAAGTCAAGAGAGAAAAAAATTATTTAGTAAAAAGTTAAGTGATTTCAATCTTTAATTTATTCATTCAATAAATACTAAGTTTCTACTTTTAGCCAAGCACTATGATAGGTACTGGCTATCTGATGAGGCACGGTTCATGTTTTGTGTCAAAGGTTTCTTAAAGAGAAATAAACATAAGTTAGGGAAGTCAATAAGATTTTGGAAGAACACAACAATAGAGGATTCAGATAGAGAGAAATTCAGAAATTAAGAGGAAAGTTAAGCACAACCCACTGCCGTCAAGTCAATTCTGACCAATAGTGACCCTATAGAACAGATAGGACTGCCCCATAGGGTTTCTAAGGCTATAAATCTTTATGAAAGCAGACTGCTGAATCTTTCTCCCACAGAGCGGCTGGTGTGTTGAAATCACGATTTTGGTTAGCGGCCCAGCACTTAACCACTGCGCCACCAAGGCTTCTCTAGGAAGAATAATGTTAAGAGCATTCGTTTTAATGGTACTGTTCTTTTGGGGAGAAAGAACAAATGCAGGTGGGTTTACAGCTTAAGATGGAAAATGGATCCCAGAATGGTACCTAAGCCACTGGCTTCTTTATCTCTTTATAAACTTGGTACAGGCACAGCCTACAGACAGAGTGACGTAGTGCAGTTTGGAGAGGGGTTTTAGGAATTGATTTTGCTACTAACTAGCTGTGTGACCTAAGTTATATCGCTCTCTGGCCCTCAAATTTGCTCATCAATGTAA